AGGAGGGGGGGGGTGAAGGACACCTCACACTCAGTCAGACCATGTCTTCTTCTCAGAGAGCAGCAGATGGCAGGGAAAAAAAAAAAAGATTAAATTAATGTTTTGACTCGTAAAAACCAAAGGGCATCGTGGGACAGAGGAGTGATTGATACGGGAGGAGTGAGGACTAATGACCAAGGACAAGGAGGGACGGACGGACGGAGGACATGTTTGGAGGCTGGGGACGCAGATGGAGAAGAATAATAAGGTGAAAGAAGAAGAATTCACGTCTCATCATCTGGTCCACGTTTGTCTGAGACACAAAGACACGACCTTGACCTCGGTGAAGAGGACGACAAACGGAGGACAAGGGAGGACAAGGGAGGACACTGAAGTTTGGCTGCGGGAAAAAAACAGTGACGGAGAAGTCCTGGAGGACAAGCGGGGACAAGGAAGACAACGAGACACGGCGTGATGAGAGGAGGAGGAAACTCTACAGAAGGATTTGGACGAGGGAAATAAACGAGAGAGAGAGAGAGAGGATTGAAGACATGAGGAGACGGAACGGAGGACGAGGGAAAACGGGCGGAGCGCCGCGACGGACGAACAGCATGAACGTAGTTGATGAGGCGCAGAAGAAGAAGAAGAAAAGAGGACGGATGATTGACAGGTCCTCAGCGCCGCGGCTGACAGGCGGCTGTAAAGGATGAGGACGGATCAGAACAAAGACGGATGGAGGCCGTCGCCAGAAACAAAACTTTTTTTTTTTGTTTTTTTTTTGTTAAATTTCATTTGTTTTGTTTTTTTGTCTCTGCTTGGGAACGCGTGGAGAACGTCAGGTCCTGGGATCAAAACGCTGAGCCACCGCGACGCACCGGCCGCAACAACCCAGTCATCCTGACAACGTGGTGTCAGACATAAATCTACCAAAGGTCAGAGGGGTCATCAGGGGTCATCGGACCCAGCGCTGCGTCGGTGTTCATGTTTGGGTTTGGGCTGTTACAGTCCTTCATCTGTTTCCTCCTCCTCCTCCTCCTCCTCCTCAGGAGCAGCGGGAGGGAAGTGACATCACAAGGACTTCCTGATCATTATTGATCTTCTGATTCCTTTTGGAGGGAGGTTCAAAAACTGGAAACACCACCGAAGAAGAGCTGGGACTGAAACTGGAGGAAGAGGAGGAAGAGGAGGAGGAAGAGTAGAAAAGATTTTGATTTATTTACTAAATACTACGACTAGTTCTCAAAGCTGTGTTTCCACCAACCAGCTAATCCACCAACCAGCTAATCCAACAACCAGCTAATCCACCAACCAGAGCTGAGGTAGAGTCAGTGATGCATTCACTGTCCTGGGAAAAAGTGGAGTTCAGAAAATGTGTTTTTTTTTTTTTCTTTTTTTTTTTAGCTTTGATGTAGTGATGTACACTGACGTATCGTGATATCGTTCATTTTCAAACACCGTAGTACATCAACGTACCTGTAGTACTGCAGTACATCATGATGTGTGGTGGTACTACTGCCCAGTTTGTGGTAGTTGGTATCATTTACCTCCGGGGGGGAAACGAGAAGTTTGTGATTAAAGTGAGTGGAATAAAGAAAAGGTTGAGATTAAAATGAAGAGACTGAGAGCGCGATGATCGCGAC